ATAGTTTTTATGCTAGACCTTTAATTATAATCTTATAGTATAAGTTTGCTATAAGAAATGAACCAGATTACATACCTAAAGTTCTTCACCTCTTCTAGATCATAATTGATGGTAGCATCTTTTACGTATTCTCTCTTACTCAATACCAATGTCTACTACTTCTTCGGTTGGTATCTGCAGTTCTCTAGTGTTCTTCACAGGTTTGGTAACATCAAACAAGATCTGAAACCTCACAAAACCTCTGCTTTGAGGTTTTAGTGGGTCAAAAGCCACATGAGTCACCTGTCCAATATGCTCAGCTATCTCAGGAACCGTTTCTGCAGTATTTCAGTTCACCAGAATATTCCTTAAACGGATCCAGATCGGTAACACCTTTAGGTAGTCAGCCGGTGGCTTCTCTACCCATCTCTCCAACGTCATGCTCCAGTCATTAAACATCCAAGCCCCGGCCTCTAAGACCATCGAGGGGTCAACCTCCGAGTCAAAGATGAAATGGAACTTGTCATTAGGTAGCGCAATCCCCCTTGCTCCGTTGTAAACCCGCCACAACCTCGTCATCTCGTGGATCAAGCTTGACAACTTTTGATTCTCCGGACACAAAAGTTGGCCAATTATATTGCACCCATTCCTTTCACAAGAACTGAACTTGGGATGGTTCTGTAAGATTATCGGTTTGTCATCTTCAAGTGACATCTTTTGACGAGCCTTATCTAGAGCGTATTCCATACGTTGAAATCACGAACCTTCATTCTGACATAGATCTTCTTAATTTTCAAAAATGCATTAAAAAAAAAAGACGGCGTCGGCTTGAGAAATAAGAAATTAGGTTAAAACTTCAACACAATCTTCAAAGATAACAAAAATATTGCAAAGCTTAACAAAAATCTTAAATCAAATCCGGCGAAAAATAGAAATATTCCCAATCTTCTAAAGCTTTCTTAGTAGAGTTGAAACCCTCTAACTTAAAAAAAGGTACCCAAGCCCACCTCATGGGATATAAATCGTTTAGGATAATATTTTCTATTAAATTTTTAAAATTTAAGAATTTAAGAAAATGACATTTCTCCGTACATAAGTCCCAGCTCTAAGAATTATTTCGTAAAACTCTCCAAATATATATATATATATATATATATATATATATATATATATATATTTGAATGATATTTGTAGGATTTTAAATTTGTTTATTATAAATATCTAATTTTGGCTTTTAAATCTTTGCAAATTATCATAGTTTTAATATAGCAAATTATTGTTTCTATATAATGTTGAAATTACCAAATGTCTTGTACCGTATCGCCACAAAAGTGTCTCAAATTGCGACGACTTTAAAACTACTTCGCTACTCCAAAGAGTTTGCGACTATTTTGCCTTGTCTTACCAACTCCTCGGGATTCTTATATTGAAATTTAACGTTATCGAATGTTAAATATATTAAGCTATACATTGTTGCATAGATTTGAACGAAAACATATATCCATGCTCTCTATATTTTCTAATTTTCAATGTTTCAACAAAATCAATCTAATATGAAAGAGAGTACAATAGAGATGAACATATGTGGTTATAATAAAGGAGGTCTGCTTTCACAATTTAGAATAATGAACGATCCAATATTCTAATTAAATTTGAAAAACAGTCCATTTTGCAAATTAACCCATTAATTAATAAGATAAACTTATTAATCTATCGGTTTGGTTTGGTTTTTAACCAAAGCAAACCGAACCATTGTGCAGATTTTGTACTAAGCTGTTTTGAGTAGTGGTGGATTTAAAAACTACTATATATTTAAGACTAGGTATTTATAATGGCGGAGACCCATACATGCACACCCTTAAAAAAAATCAATATGAAGGAGTGAATGGACAAACAAAGCAACCCAACTCTTCACACTTTCAATTAACATAAATGATTCCATGTCCCATATTCTGATTTCAACATGATTTATGTTCTCCAGGTTAAAATACTTTCATGACAAGTGATCAACAATTTTTTCTGCAACTCAATCAGTCATTTGACACAAGTGTCAAACGTCCTTTACGTACAAACCCAGTTACCAAAACAGTCGATATGCTTCAAGTCTAATTGGCTTAAGTTAAATAAAGTCCGCCTCTTTGGTAACCACTAACGCTCTGTTTTCTTTATTTTTATTTATCAACTCTTAATTAATTAATTTCTTTTTTTGATAAAGTTTTATTAATTAATTAATTTCTTTTTTAACCGTTGTAAATGCTAGCACATTAGAAGGTAGAAAGGGTGATGTAATCTGTACAAACTGAATCGGTAAAATAATAACAATTTGTATAGTTGTCTTCTACGGCTGTGTCTATTAGTTATAGGTCATCATAATATATATATTTTTAATTTTTAATTACAAAATATATTTAAATGAATTGTGCAACCATTTAGTTGAATCATTTCAATATTTGATTTTATTGAAGAACCATTGCAATTTTTATTTTTATTTATGAATCCTTGTAATATTTATTTTATTTGACGAACCATTGCAATATTTTATATTTTTGATATCTATACTCGAGTCTCTCGGTATATTTCTTCATATTTTTTTAAAAAAAATATTAATAAAATATATTTACAGAAATTGTCGCAATAATATAATTGCATGTTTCCACCATTTAAATTATTTGACTAATCATTATAAGTATTGTTTTATTTTATGAATGTTTGTAACTTTCAGTTTATTTGACGAGCCGTTGCAACCTTTGTTATATTTGATATCTACGGTAGCATCGCTCGGTATAATTTTCATAAATTAATATCTGTTAAATTTTTGATTGGTTTATTTGAACAACAATTGTAATTTTTGGTTTATTTTAAGAATCGTTGTAACCTTTAATTTATTTGACAAAAAGTTGCAACCGTGAGTATATTTGATATCAACAACCGCATCTCTAGGTTACAAATCTTCAAAACTTATTATTTAAATTTTTAATTACATAAAATCTATTTATATAATTGTTGTTACCCTTTAGTTTAACATTTGCAAACATTTGGTTTATTTGACGAATCATTGAAATTTAGTTTTTATTTTATGAAGCGTTATAACGTATAAGATTATTTGCTATAGCGTTGCAATTTTTAGTATATTTGATATGAACAATTGCAACTTTCGTTTATTTAATGAATTATTTCAAGTTTTGGTATATTTGATGAATCATTGAAATATTTTTCATTTATAAAACATTTGTGTGAACATTAATTAAAGATAAATAAAAATTGAGAAAAATCTCTAACCAAAAAAAAAATGAGAGAACACAGAGCCTCGACAATGAATTTTTTTTTTTCCTCTCTTGGTGTGATTATATCGGTTCATAGTAAGTTAGTAACCATCATCTCTCTATTTTATGTAATTTCTTTTGAGCTTCTGTTACGATGGAGTCGCTTCTTTGATTGCGTTTGATACCAGAGGGTTTTGGCAGGTTTTATTATCATCTCTTATGATAAATAAAAAACCCAACAAATACCGTATAGTTTTCATAGTATTCTTGTATATTTATAATCATTTAAAACTTTTTTTTATTAAATGTCACATTTGTTTTTAATTATGAGTTTATGACTCTTTATTTTACTCATCTATTGGGGTTGCGTCTTTTGCACCAATATTTTTTACTAATATTTGTGTCTGTGTAATATATATATATATATATATATATATATATATATATATATAACTCTATTTCTTTCTTTAGATTTTAGATAACTACCAAAAAATATTTCTTTGTAATAGAAATGTAAAAAAAATTAAAGTTGAAATGTCAAATCTTTTCTATTTTGTTCACTATAGATTATATTTATTATAACTCTTTTTCATATACATTTTCACTAACATATGTATATATTTACTACTCATATCTTTAAAATCTAATTCATTTGAACATATTAAATCTTCAAAGAATTTAAAATTTAAGAACCACTGATTTTCAAGTATTTTAATTTTATTTCCAAACATACATTATTTATAAATGCATAAAATCTATATGTTTTACTTTTTCAAAATATTTTAAAAGTTATTCTAAAAATGAAAATTTTTATGAGTTTCCTAGAAAATGATTATGGTGTGTTGCGTCTCTTTATCATAACTATGTGTTTTGTATTTTTTATATATATAACCATTTGAAAATTCTAAAGTGTTTTTGAGAGTCACATTTTGTATATTTTTTTTTTGATTAATTGTTAAATTTGGTGATCTAATGGAGAAGTGATTATGTAAAATAGAAAAGGAGAATGGCGATAGAGGAAGTAGCTTATGAGTTACAAAACTATTGAACTCCAAGAGATTGAAACCATCTTTGAAAGAGATGTCTAAACTTTGGAGAGTCTTTATAACGAAGTGAGGTCACTCGCTGTCGGATTGATTTTTCAATCAAATGAGTAATGTGTGTAGCCATACTTTGACAATTGACAATTAAAATATACAATCTATTGAAAAAAATCATTTAGATTAAATTATGTTTGAAGAATATTTGTAGGAGATTCTATAGTTAAAAGCAAAAAAATCTAAATAGAATTTATTTTTAAACTGAAGAATTCATTGTTTTTCTATTTAAAAAAAAAAAAAAAAAAAGACACCTTAATCCAACGATCATCATTTTCCGTTAAACCATAATTCAAATTAAATTGAGAAGCCAATTTATTTATTTTTAAAATTTGAATTTTTTTTTTTTAACTTACTTATTTACTAAATCTGATTATCCTAATAGATAACAGATAATCAAACAATGCTGTAAAACAAAACAAAAAAAAACGGATAGTCAAATAATCAATTTACATACAGAAATACAGAACAAAAAAATTCAAATCGATTATAACAAACTAACAACCTATTCAACACTAATTTATAATCTCCAAGATTAAAGGAACAAGAATAGGACTTCAAATTCAAAAAAAAAAAAAACAAACAACACAATTCTTATCTTTTATTTTTCCTAACTTCACTTCCTTATATAAACCCCATTCATCTATCACCTCAAGAAAACATAAAGCAAATCAACAATAAGAAGAAACCAATAAACTCTTACGCTCTTCAAAGAAAAAAACATCAATAATGAAGCAATCTCTTCTTCTTTCCTTCGTGTTACTATCACTTTCATCATCATCACTTGTTACACCAATCCATGCACGTAACAAAGGAAATCCGGCAAAGTCTCCCGTTGGTGCTCCGGCACCAGGACCATCAGGTTCTGATTGTTCTCAAGTAATATATAGCATGATGGATTGTCTCACGTACCTTGGTGTCGGATCAAACGAGACTATGCCAGAGAAATCGTGTTGTGTTGGAATAGAAACTGTTTTACAATATAATCCACAATGTATTTGTGCTGGTTTGGTTAGTGCTGGCCAAATGGGAATTGAATTGAATAACACAAGAGCTCTTGCAACACCTAAGACTTGCAAACTCTCCATTGCTCCTCCTCATTGTGGTGATTTTTTATTTCTATTTTTATTTTGTCTAAATATTAAGAGTTTTTTTTTTTTTTTTTTTTGCGTTTGATTTTTAGGGTTCTAAAGTGATATTTTTTCCTTGCAGGTATAATAACTTCAGGTGCTACGACACCAAGTGCTTCGACACCAGGTGCTTCTCCTCCATCTCCTGGTAAGTGTTGACTTATTTTCATTTTTTGTAAAAATTTTTTTATTCAATTTGATTACCGATTATGTTCGTAATTAAGTTTGTCTCTAGAAGAAAAATATAAGTTTGAAAACAAAATGAGTTAGAAATAGTAGTTGAATGAGTTGAACAATTTTCTTTTATATTTTTTTCCAATTTTTTGAATTGAATGTGTTGAATCATTTTTTCAGTTTTTTCATTTCAAATGATAAAAAATTAGCTCAATATTATTTTTCAACCTAGTTTTATTCTTCCAAGTGTGTTTCTTTCATTTTTTGGGATTTACTGAGAAGGCATTTGAAATTATATATATTAGTGTAGTGTGTGGTACTTCAACTAAGTTTCATTTTGTTAGTTTAGTTATCAGATATATCATTTCATATTTAATTAGAATTTCGTTATACTAATATTTCTTATTGTGTTACTCACATTGCATTTTTGTTAGTCTTATCTGTTTTTGTTAATAAAAACTTTTGTATGTTAAAAGATATAATGTATGAATGATGATATGGATGCAGTTTCCCCATCAGCCGGAACACCTACGACTTCACCATCTGCAGCCAAGTCACCAGCAACTTCGGCAACTTCCCCGTCTTCCGATGAGACACCGTCAATGACTGCACCTTCTCCTACAACCTCTGGCACAAACATCCTCTCAGTTCCTGCACTCACCATTGTTTTCGTTATTGTTTCTTCTGTCGCTTACATTTCCGCTTTTTCTAATTAATCACAGCTTTTATTTTTATTTTCTTTGTATTTCATCTATGAATTCAACATTGTTATGATTGTGATTTGAAGACATGATGTTTCTTTAATGCTTTTAAGTTTTAATTATGCAACCGTAGTACAATGTTAAATATGCGCTGGGCTGCTGATGCGGACATCCAAATCAAACCAAAGCGGGAGTATACCAAACCAACCGGTACATGTATCAAACCGGTTGATATGGAGCATTTTGGAGGATTCTTGCCCAAATGGAGTCATAATCAAGCACAAGGCCTAGGGTTAATTATTCACCAGCAAATTAATCCTAAGAAGACAAACGATAGTTCAGGAGGAATCAAAGACCAGCGAGCCGAATCACCATGTTGGGGAAATTTGACCGTTGCACTTTTTTTCCCTTATCTAGGGTTTTGTCCCAATGGGTTTACCTAAAAAGTTTTTTAACGAGGCAACATCAAGTCATCAAGGAATCATTTACCAAGAAATTGATTCGAAGATGTTACAAGTACATATAGCTGATGTACTTGCTGACAGACCGGCTGCACTACTTGTTGAACTACTCGCTGAACTACTTTCTGAAGTACCGCACCAAATGAAGCCAAATAAGGAAATCTTCCTTATTCTATACTTGGACGTGCCTCAAAGCTTTATTTGGCGACCTGGAGAGTATCTAGATCACTTAGAGGCTTCACTACATGCTCTAAGATACACCACACCACATTTGATCAAGCGGATCAATTCTGAGCTCTACTTACCATATTTGGACCCGATTGTCATCAATGTCCCATGGATCTTTCCCCTTTTGTTTGAGCGTCCACTTAAGATATTCCAGAGCATCAAGAAGCTTCCAAGACGTCACAACTTCCTCCCCAAGTTGACAAGATACAAGGCACACCTCACTTGCCTTATTTGGACCAACGACCATATTTTCTTTTAATGTTGCGATTTGTTTCTTTGTTTAGCTTTTAGAACGTTTGTACTCAGCCTATATAAGCTGATCATTAGTCTCATTGTAAAGGACCCTTGATCATTTTAAAGTAATAGAAACGTTTTCTACTTGTCAAAGTTTGAGTCTTTGTCATTGTTCTGTAGTTCTTTGTGAGTGAGTCACCAAGTACTTCAAGATTCCGCGGATTAAGTTTGTTGAGTGATTCAACATCCTTCATTCGTTCATTGATCGAGTGAGTCGATTACCCCACTGATTGAGCGAGTCAATCACCCTTCTATCCATTAATTCCCCTTGAATCGATCCCACACGAGAGAAGCGATCGCCAGCGTGTCAGATCACCACCTTCATCATCCCACCTTCCGCGTGGCAAGCTTGGAACTCTTGATCATCAAGTGATCTAAAGTTGGATTAGCTCCAATTCTTGCATCATCTGGTATCAGAGCTTCAAAAGCTCCTATCCCCAAGGTTGTATCTTTTCAACCTATATCTTTTTGATTTTCAAGTTTTATTATTTAATTTTTATAAATTTGAAAACCAAATAAAAATTTTGTTTCTTGCTTTATTCTTGTTTATTTGCTTCAGTACTTTGATAAAAAAAAAAAAATTATTTGCTTCAGTTTATTATTTATTTCTGAATTTTTTAAGAAAAAAAAAAACAATAAAAATTGGATTTTTGTTATTTTTAAATTAATTTTTGAAATTTATTGTTATAAAACTAGAAAAGAAAAATAAAACCTCGTTTTCCCTTTTTATATTTCAGATTTTCGAATTTTATTTGAATTTTTGCATTTATTTTACAAAATATAAAGAAAATAAAAAGTTTCCATATTTTGTCCTCTTTACCATAATTTATTGATTTACTTTTGATACATCTTTCTCTTGTTTGTGCAAGGAATTCCACGAAAACAAAGGAGCAACGATGACGTCATACTATGTGGAAGAAGACGAAACCAGCCAGGAGATGTGTCTCAATGATGATTATGAAGAATGGTGGCATGAAGAGTACTCTGAATCAGAGTTTGAGGATGAATTAGGCCGTGAAGTACCAGAACCAGAACCGCCTGACGCATACAACACCCATAAAGGCTATTCTAAACCATGGATTACATTTAATGATGATTTTTGCAGCCATGGTTCAAAATCTCCATTGACTCGAGCTATGTCTTTTTCAGAAAAAAAGAATTACCTTAAATGGGAAGATGACATGGAGTATAAAGGGGCAACGGCGAAGGAATACAATTGCCAACGTCTTCCAAGGCATGAAGAGAAGCTTGACCATCACACCTTGTTATACCGAGGGCCTACAGCCTCACGTCAAGCAAAACCGAGACACAAGTTCTTTCACACAAATACACGAGTAGTACAGGAAGTGACTCAAGAAGTGACTCATAGAACATCAATGTGGCGTAAACCATATCCCCGTGGTAGGCGTGACTACCTAGCTGAGAGAGACTCAGGGATCACTAATCTAAGAGGAGGCGAGCTGAAACGTGGCACTCGTCGAGACCCACTACTATCCAATCCCACCCGAACCTACCAAACAAAACTCAGGTTATCTCTAGACAATGGTTATGAGTATTTTGGACCTGAATCTTTTGAGTTTGCAGGACGTGAGAGAGATTATCTGCAATGGGAACTCAACATGGATAAGTACTTTAGATACTATTCCATTCCCAAAGAAGAGAGGCTCAACTATTGTCTTGAACAACTCATGGGAAGCGCGAAACGTTGGTGGGACCGAGAAGAAAAAGATAGACGATGGTTCAAGGAGCCAGCACTCAAAACGTGGGAACAACTAAAGATACTTATGAGGGAGAGATATGCACCTCACAGTCTTCCCCAACCTGGTCAACACACTTACCATCCAAAGGAACCAAGCCGAGAGAACACTACACATCAACGTGTTAGTTCCAATCAAATTGCGGATCAAGATCCCGCTAAGAAGAATGAGAAAGGTACATGTGCAAAAGGAGAACCGAGCTCCATACCGGTACTTGAACCACATGCTGAACCACATGTTGAAACACATGCTGAAACACATGTTGAACCACATGCTGAACTAAAGCAAGGTATGTCCTATGATTCATTAAAATCAAATGAACCAACATGTTATAGATGTCATAAGAAGGGACATTTTGCTGCAACTTGCTATAAAAGACAAGTAGAGGATGTCATATCACTAGAGCTGAAAGTGGATGCATCTAACTTCAATGATTGTCTAGTGAATTCAAGTTTAGAAATTCCCAATTCTAGATTAATGCGCTTGTCTTTGCCAAAGGTTATTGATGCAGGTATATGTCATAGCATGGATGACACATCTAAAGAAGTAGACCACAACGTAGCAACTCTAAAGGAAGTTGAGAATATCATAAGTTTTGAGGAACAACTTTCGGAAACAACAACATCAACACAAGTTTGCCGAAATAAGACGTATGATCAAGCAGCCCTCAAAGGACGTGTGATAATACAGCCCTGTTCAACACCAGCTGATCTTGCTTCTAAGATCATCCACATCAAGGTTGCATTGATACCGAACACCTTACATGGTACACAAGTAAGCGAAACTTATTATCTTGTTCGATATTGGCATTATCTTATATTCGAAAGGACTTTCAAGAACCCTATCCATATCATTTCAATTTCAAGTATAATGCACTTGATCTTGTCTTTGAGTGCCAGTGAAAGTACATGTACCATGAAGATTTGCGAAGATCAAAGAGAAGCCACAACAATGTTACGGTTACTCTCGGATCAAAGCAAACAAGAAGTTGATTCTGGTCTAACACATGAAAAGGTTCAAAGTAACTTATTTCATTATGTTCATGAACGTCCCTTGACTGCCTTAATACACTTGTCTTGTGCCAAAAGTGTTGAGACACATGTAGGTAATAAGGAGACACATGTGGATCCAAAAGAGGGATCAACAACGAATGATGTTGTGCAGCAATATCAAGAGCTTTTTATATGCGAATCTGTCACTAAAGAGAATGAAATTGATACCAACAACATCCTGCTGCAAGAAGAACCACCGGACCAGCCATCAAATCAACAAACCAAGTTGATTTCGAAAGATACACTCACCGAGGATCTAAGTCAGGTAAGTAAACTATTACTTCTAATTGTTTCTAGCGATTTGAATGATGTGATAATAAACTTGTTAATCCTTAAAGAGTGTGAGAAAATAGTAGATCTTTTAAATAAATCTATGGAACTAATTTCTTGTCTTAGGACATATCAAGTAGCTGATCTACTTTGTGACATACTTTCTGAATCACTTTGTGGAAAAGAAATGGTTCAATCCAAATTGGTTTACTTGTTTATATTGATCCCATGACTGTTTTAATGCACTTGTTTCTTGCCCAAAGTGTTGATGAACTTGCAGGTACCAACAAAGAACACATGGAACATAAAAGTGATAAACCGGAAGTGAGGAAAGTCAACGACCAAATTCAAAACCAAAGTGAACCAGCACCATTGATGCTAACACCCTCTATCATGGAGACTAGAAGAGTTTCAAACTCTTGCTTAATCAAAGAGGAACCGCCGGATTTTAAAGCTCAAGCCCAAACCCAAGATGGATTTAAGCAAGCAACACGACAACTCAAAGCACCGGATCAAAACAGAGGAGTGATCCTATCTTTCTTGCTCAAAGGAGAGCCACCTGATGCACCATGCACATCAAACCGCCACCCTACCAAGGTAAGACCCTAGCCTCCCAAAATCGAATGAAAGCTAACTTGCTTTCTCTTGGTGCAGATTGTATAGTTTCGAGGTCGAAACTTTTTCAAGGGAGAGGGTATGATGCGGACATCCAAATCAAACCAAAGCGGGAGTATACCAAACCAACCGGTACATGTATCAAACCGGTTGATATGGAGCATTTTGGAGGATTCTTGCCCAAATGGAGTCATAATCAAGCACAAGGCCTAGGGTTAATTATTCACCAGCAAATTAATCCTAAGAAGACAAACGATAGTTCAGGAGGAATCAAAGACCAGCGAGCCGAATCACCATGTTGGGGAAATTTGACCGTTGCACTCTTTTTCCCTTATCTAGGGTTTGTCCCAATGGGTTTACCTAGAAAGGTTTTTAACGAGGCAACATCAAGTCATCAAGGAATCATTTACCAAGAAATTGATTCGAAGATGTTACAAGTACATA